GCAATTAACTGTGTGCATTAATGTCTTCGCAATAGTTTCATATTTGCTCACTTACTTGGTATAGTTATTAGGAGTAATTTATGTAATGTAACACTAAAATAATTGAGAACAATTGATTTATATTCATCGAATGTAATCGAAATTTTAAATTATTTCTCTTCTTTCCTGCTTTACTGCTATTCATCTAGGTGGTTTAATTCTTCTGTTCCATTAAGACTATACCAGTGTTTCTTAACAAACACCTTGTACCTGAAGAAGGACAAAGGCCTAAATGTTGTTCAATAAATAAAATTGTAAGAGATATTCAAAAAGATGAAACTAACTTTTACTTACTTTTCTAATTTTCAATGATTACCATTTTTAAGGGAACATTATCATACTTAAATGAAATTATTCCAAAATAAATTTTTATTGACCTTATATTGCCCTTTTATTATTAGAAACAGTAGTCATTGTATTATGAAATCCTACAGTAATAATTGTTCTCTATAACCACAGATTGTATTAAATAAATATATAAAATTGTTTTAGGCTGTCCGTTTGGATACAGATTATTCAATAGTAGATGCTATAAAGTATTTGACGATGACACGAAAATCTTTCACGAATCAAAAATGTTCTGTAAGGAAGAAGGAGGAATGCTGGCTAAAGTCGAAAGTTACGATATCTGGAAGTTTCTATACTACCAAATAAAAGACAGTTCCAAATCATATTGGGTCGGTATCACAGACTCACAAGAAGAAGGGATCTGGCGTTATGTTGATGGAATCTTGATGTCAGACTCACTAAAGAAGGCGAGTGTTTGGTGGCCTTACCAGCCTGACTACATTTATCCTGATGGAGATTGCGCTGCTATGGATAGTGCGTTATCTTTCAAATTATGTGATCGAGTATGTGAAGAGAAATACGGATTTATTTGTGAGAGAGCATCAAATAAAGGTGGTTATATACTTTATACCATATAGTTTATAAACAGCTCGGTTACGATTCATAAGAAATCAGTATGTACCACATGGATATAACATGCATTGAAAAATTATTTTGATATTATATAAATGATTTGAATTCACATAAGATATTATACATTTATATTTTCTATCTAGAAATATGCAATTTTGGTTAAAAGAGTTTTTGTTTTTACACATTATAATATTTCAAAATGTAAGTTTAAATATATAAAACGGTTTAATATGCACTAGAAAAACTATTACCAAATATTCCTTTTGCTTTTTATTTGTTCATTTATACTTCGTTTTCAGTGTTTCCTTTTAAAATGCCAAATATATCTCGTGTTTTATTAGTTATTCATTCTAAAAGATAGGCACAGTTTAAACAATATATTTTTCTCTTTAAAACGTTGCAATTTTTGTTTTTAGTTCATAGTCACGAATTACAGTGTATGTTTAAAACACTTAAAGAAGGGCTACTTTCTATAAAATTATATATTTGAAGACCAGGAAAATTATATTTATTTGGGTGTTAAAAAATAGCACAATTTCATCTAAATTTCTACACTTTCAAGAGGCGTTCTTTTTGCTGTACGCCAGATATTATTACAATTGCAGTTCCCAAAGATAGTAACTAATCTTTAAAATAAATACCTTATTTTCTAATATATGCATGATGCAAAAGCTTATGTGTTAAAGTAGGTGGAATTTAGAATTTGTATGTTTAAAATATGCTAAAATTATAAAGATTATTCTTGTCTCGATAACAAAAAGATACTTGCATTAGCAATCTACCAGGTAAAGTTCAAACGTTGAGAATTCTGGCGTTCGTTGTTCTGCCTTTATCAACCAAGTAGTTGAAACTTAGATTATTTTGTTTCGGTTTTGTTTTTAATCAGTTTTCTTCAAACAACGTATTCTTCACTATTCGAAACTTTTCAGTTTCGGAGCAATTATATCATTAATTGAGGCGGTAACATCAATTTCTCAGAACAGTAATCATGTTTCGAACACGTAAGACCATTCACCGTCATTTTCACTTTTTCAGAGGGTTGGCCAGTTACTAGCTATCAAGATGGCAACACCTATTACAGAGCGATTGGTAAATATGATAACTTTACTACAGCACGAGCACATTGTGAGGAGCATGAATTCCAGTTGGTCAAGATAACAGATGCACAGTCATACCAGGCTTTACAGGAACTTATTACAGGTTTAATGAGGAATACAGAGCTTTATGGATAGGAATGACAGATAGAAAAAAAGGAGAACGACTTCAAGAATATTGATGATGAAGCTGTTCCAAACTTGCCTGAAATCTGGTTAGATGGAGAACCAAATAATGGAGGAACTCACGTTGAAAACTGTGCCATACTCAGCGGAGATCCGTATCTTCTTGCTGACTCAATCTGCTCTCGAAACTGTTTCGGAGTGTGCCAAGGACCACAGGATTCTTCAAATTGTAGGTTAATTTTCACTGAACACGAATTTTTTTTAAAATGTTATCTTCATCTTATAATATAAAAACATTTTTGACAATCCTTTATATGAACATATGTTAAAGGTGATACTATATAATGTATACGAAATTAAACTTATCCATCATGTGTTGTATAAAAACGTTCACATTTTTGTAATGAATTCTGTTTCTGCCAAAGTTAGAAAATATATAATAAGCTAAAAAGTAGAATATAAGCTGCGAAAGAGAAGTCCTACCAACCTAATAAAACCGAGAATTATTTCAGCTCTGTTTTATCCTCTGATTGTATATATACGTATGGGTGCACGTGCACTGTTACAGCCTTATTTTTTAACATTTTTAAACAGCTATCTCCTGAATGCCCTTTACACGGTGACCATAAGACAGAATTACCAACTCGAAAAAGTTTCTTTGTTTGTTTAAAGTTAAGCACAAAGCTACACAATGGGCTATCTGTGATCTCCCCACCACGGATGTCGAAACCCAGTTTCTAGCTTTGTAAGTCCGCAGACATATCGCTGTGCCACTGGGGTCATTCGAAAAAGACTGATGAATAAACGATGCTGATTGGTTAGCAATAGTTCGGTAGTATCAATCAATTCATGGTTGTCTTTGAATAATGATGTTACACACACACACACACACACATTTAATTATATTTGGTAAATAATGTGAATGTTATTATTCCATTTCAATTGTTCCTTAACTTCTGTCTTTTGTGTGTGTGTGTGTGTGTGCAAATAACCCTCAACTAATACTGAAAAATAGTTTATAAATTCTTAAATGTTTCTTATGTAGTTCCCTATTGGTTAGATATGTACAGAGTTAGTTTTTATACAATTTTAACATTTGAAATATTATACATGTAAGCTTAAAATATTATAAGTTAGATTAAATGTACTCATTCGTTACAATGAGGATCCAATTGTAAACTTATATTTCAATTATAACCACTTTTAGGTTATACCTATATGAATGAGAATGAAATTTTACAAGCCAATAAAAAAGTTTAATTGTGAACTTGTATTTCAAGTATACTCCCTTTTAAACAGGTTATATCTGTATAAATGAAAAGGAAATTTTATAAGTCAATAAAAAAATATTAGTAATAATGAACTCACCAGTGGCACAGCGGTATGTCTGCGGACTTACAACGCTAGAAACCGGATTTCGATACCGTGGTGGGCAGAACACAGATAGCCCATTGTGTAGCTTTGTGCTTAATTACAAACAAACAATAATAATGAGGTTTGTGCATCAATATTAAAAAAAACAATACTTTTATGCAAAGTTTAGGTATATTTATATTGGAGTTTTATGCTACTGACGCTTGACGACAAAAACAGCTAACTCGATCATTCAAAATTCATTAAAAAATAAATGTGATTATCAATGTCAATCTCTACCTCTTTTTCAAAAGAGTTTTCAAGATATGTCAACTCAGTTTGTAGGAAGCATACATTTTCATTTTCATTATTTTCTATTCTCGCGTCATTTGCAATGGATTAATTTTCTTTCAAGAAGATAAAATAAACATTTTTTTTTACAAAACATTTTACATCATGGACAGAAAATTCGTGTAACAGACAATTAAGTTCGTTGTGCGTTTATTTAAATTTATTCCACCAGTCCAGACAATTGATATTACGCACTTTAGAGGTTATAAAACTTAAGAGATATTATCTAATCTTTTTTGTTTTTTATACATTTTACACTCACTATCTTTATCTTATGAGAGTTTAAGTCTCAAATGTATTTATTTTCATAGCTTGTCCAAACGCAGGAAAACAATATCAAAATATGTGTTATTATCTGAACACCAACAAAACCAGTTTCTGGGAAAGTAACAGCTTTTGCCAAACAAATTACAATGGAAGCTTAGTAAACATTGCAAATGGTGGAATTTTGGCCAATCTTCATAGTTTGATTGAAGATAGAGGACTGAAAGGGGAGGACTTCTGGGTTGGGTTTACAGATGAACAGAAAGAAGGAGACTGGAAATATGTGGACGGAAACAAGATAGATTTTGTACCAGAACTGTGGCACTTACAAGAGCCTGACGATGGAGGGATTAATGATCAAGACTGTGTAATTATTAATGACCAGAACCAGATGAAACTTAAAGACACAGAGTGTTCATTAAAATACAATTTTATATGTCAAGAATTCCGTGTTCTCAATGCCGAAGGTAACCGATCTTAATTAATTTTGAAATATTTAATTTATTATTCCTTTATTCTCTGCTAAATGCGTCATATTAATAACAACATATATATATATCGCTTCAGTGTAATCAAAACTCGATGTTAAATCTAATGATAAACCTTGATAAGCTTGAATTCTTTTTTCCTATGAAAGATTACTAGCGTATGAATCAAATATCTTTCAAACACACCAAATAACATATTGTTTAAAGCAGAACAATTTATCATATTATATATCTATATTAAATGCATAAAATGCAGTAGGAGAGAAAAACTAAACGTTGTGTGATCATTATAGGATGTCCGGAAAAATACAAGCTCTTCGATACTACCTGTTATCGAGCTTTTCCTTATCTTCAGAAGAACTTTACTGAAGCCATTCTGTTCTGTGAAGAAGAAGGAGGAAAGTTAGTTAAAATTGCTAGCTATGATATTTGGGAATACCTACGTACTGAGGTCTTGGGGACTGGACAAACATTTTGGGTTGGAATGTCAGATAGGGCTGAAGAAAGTGTGTGGCGTTTTCTTGACGGTGAGCTGGTGCCAACGTCTTTTGAAACTTCAGGAATGTGGCAAGATGGCAACCCTGATAATTACGGAGGTGTAGAACACTGTGCAGATATTAGTCATATAAGTAACTACAAGCTACAAGACGATCGGTGTAATTATAAGTTCGGAGTGATTTGTGAGATCGACGTGATAGAAGGTAAAATGAATTTAGTCTATTTTGTGGCACAACAAATAAAGAACATTGATCCTTTGTTCTTTAAATAAGTTTGATTTTATTATAATATAACAAGTTAAAAATGGCATTAATATTTAAAATCAAAATATACTTCACTTTTTTATAAAGATAAATACCTTAATATTTAATAATAATAATAATAATAATAATATTTAATAATAATAATAATATTTAATAATAACAATAATATTAATAATAATAATAATT